GTTTTAACTCTGTCGCTCTCATAAGAAAGACATCCGAAAACTTCACTCTGATGGTTTGGAATATTCTTCAGATTGTGGAAGTCTCTGCTCTTTGTGAACTTGGAGCTCTAAATGCTAGTTGTTTTTGAAAACTGAGGCCATGAAACATGAGGCACAAATAACCTCAGAGGAGAAGAGTTTAAGTTGTTTCGTTGTTTTGAATTGCCTCTAAAGCAGTGGATGTAGATGCTGTGTGCGCTGCTAAGGAAGGTACTCAGCCTACTCTTTGTGCTTTACACAAGAGACAGACTGTCCCTACCTTGAGAGTCTATAATCTGCAATTAGAGAAATGCAGGAAGCGCTGACAATGGAAAGGGAAAATGAAGGGCATGAAAAACATATGTCAATTATGAATCTTGATAGATCAGATAGACAATTAATTAGAGAACTGCAGAGAGAAAACACGGATAACACTGCTGAGTAGTAGAAGGTGAAAGCATATGGAATTTCAAGTACGCAGAGCCTAATTTGATTACTGCGAGGGTTGTGGGAAATGGTTCTTCACAGTGGGCATGTCTACATGTGAATTTACGCACATCTAAACTTAATGCATCTTAGCCTAAGGAGCGTTAAGGCAATTTAGGTGCATCTACGCGTGCATGCTTTAAGGCACCTTAACACTGCTTGCTGGGTGAATATGTTTGCAGCTTGCCCTGGGCAGCACCTGGACAGTCTTTGGACCCCATAGCAGCATAGCTGGACAGTGCAACCCAGAGCTGGCTGAGAGGGTGGGAGCCTCCAGTCCTCCTGGATGTGATTGACCCAGCCCCGGGCCTGGGCCTAGCTCTAAACCCCTGCCTGTGTTCCTTCCTCCCCAGCACGGGATGAGAGCAGACCATAGCCAAGCCCACGGGGCCCTGCACTGCCACCGGGCACCAAGGTGAAGATGCAGTGGGTGCTGTTCCCCAAGGTGCGGACACTGGAGCTAGATGGAGGTTCTGGCAGCACTGGTACCTGTTGGTGTCCAATCAACTTGGGACTAAGTCAGCAGAGGGGGAAGGTGACATGAGGGCTCCTGTCAAAGCTCAAGGGAAAGCTCCCCCCCCCAAACATCTTCCTGCAGGGGAAAGGGCAATGTGGGCAGGTCCTTTGCTAGCAGCTCCCCCACACCTCTCCTTCAGGTTGGGTTTGTTGACTGGGCAATGCAGCCCTGCAGAGATGGGACACCTTGCTACCCACCCAGGATTCAGGCTACCCTAGAAGCCCACACTGGGACTCCCACTTCCAACAGTGGGTAGGCTAGGATTGCGTCTTCCCCCAGTCTCTGGCATGGCTTTTCCTGCTCCACCTACCTCCATCCCGGGCAAACACCTGGCTTCCCTGCTGGACAGAGACCTGTGAGAGAGGTGGCATAAATGCCTGGGGGCTATGCTTGGCTCAGCCCTGGCAGGCTGTGTGCAACGTGGGTAGGGTCTTGGCTGTGGATGAGGTGGGCCAAGGAGAGAGCCGAGCCCCCACATGCATTGTGCCCAGCCTGCTGGGACTGAGCCAAGCAGGGCCATCAGGAGCTCATGCCACCTCTCCCATGGACAACATCCAGCAGGGAGGCCGGGTGCTTGCCTGGGACAGAGGTGGCTGGAGCAGGGAAAACTGTGCCAGGCACTGCAGGCAGATGCAGTCCCAGCCTACCTGCTGTCCTGGGCTGGGGCCTCAGTGTGGGCTTCTAAGGTAGCCTGAATCCCAGTGAGATGTCCTACCTCTGCAGGGCTGCATTGCCTGGCTAGCAAACCAGCCCCAAGGGAGAGACATGAGAGAGCCACTAGCAAAGGCCCTGCCTGTGCTGCACTGCCCACTTTCCCTGAAGGGAGTCATGGGGGGGTGGGGCTTTCCCTTGTGCTTCGACAGGAGCCCTCGTGCCTCCTGCCCGCTCTGCCAGCTCAGTCCCAAGCTGGTCAGCACACCAACAGGTACCACTGTTGCTGGAACTGCCACTCCAGCTCCAGTACCTGCATCTTGGAGAACAGCACCCACCGAATCTTCTTGGTGGTGCCTAGTGACAGTGTGGGGCCCTATAGGCTCGGCTCTGGCCTGCTCAGTCAACACAGACAGCATTAAGGCATCTTAAGGCATCTACAAGTGGGTTAATGTGCCTTAAGTAATTGCACCTAACTTTGATACCTGCTTTATGCAGGTATCAAATTTAAGCATGATTAGCCTAAAATTCCCATTTGTAATGCGCATTAAGGGTGCATACATGTAGACCTGCACCCTTAATGCATGTTAAAAATAGCTAGTGCACTTTAAATCGGCACATGTAGACATGGCCAGTGGGTGCATCTATAAATGCACTTTATTGCGGAGTTGACTAATTAGCTCTGCAGTAAAGTATCACTGTCTGCACGTGCGCCAGTATTAGGGTATAGAAAATTAATTTGCTCCAGGGACAGTTCTATGTTGCAGCAGAGCAATTACATGTAATGACATGCATGTGTACACAGTAACAGGGGCTGGCTGGGGCATGAGGGTGCAAAAGTGTGGGGACTGCTTCACAGGTTCTGCACCCTCATGCCCCAGCCAGCCCATACACCACCACCCAGAGCCCAGGGCTGACCTCCTGAGCCTGCTATTAGCCCATGGATGCCCCACCCTGGCTCAAAGTGCTGCTGTCCCAGGTGGACGTGCAGATACTGTACCTGGGAGCAGTTGACTCTGACTTAAACAGCTCCAGAGTTTATTGCTTCACATTACTTGAATGTGTAGATATACTCAGTGAGGAGAAAGTAAGTCAGACACAGAATAGTTCAGGGATACGAAACATCAAGAATATTAAACTGGCAACAGTTTTGGTTTTTGATTCACTTTAATTAGAGCTGCTAGATAGTCTCTTTTCTTCTTACATATCAGGTTTTGGGATAGAAATTACCAGAGGGTAATAACTAAAACCATGCAAAATTATTCCAGGCTCCAACTCCACCCCTTTGCTAATTACAGGTGCATTTCTTCCTCTGCAGTCCAGGTTATTTGTTTTCCAGTATATTTCTTCTTCACAATTCATTTCCATGAATGTGATTATTTCCATTTTCTGCTTCAGATAATGAATCACATCTTTGTTTCGAGAGCTTATCTCTCAATCCCCTTTGGGCTCAAATGCATGAAATTTGATGCATTAGCTGTTCTATCTCATTACCTTAATTAGGAATGAAGCTCACTTTTTCAGAAATCACTTGAACCTTACAAAGCATTCATTAAAATTGCTGCTTTTTAAATATATGTCATTGCAGATTCCCGCAAAGAAAATACAAGTAGGAGAAATTGTTCATTGAAGCAAAGGATACAAATCAAGCTGATACAGTTGAATGCTGACATAACTACTTTGGGTATAGCATTTACTATTAGATATTTTAAAGGGATCAAAGGTAATGTGGTAGGAAATATCCAATCCAATTTGCTTACCAAGACTTTGGAGCAGCAATTGTAGCTTAATAAAATCTCTGATGCCCAATCTGAAGCCCATGGACAAGCTGTTGTCTTCCTCCGGAACTGCACACACCTTCCAGGTGGCTGTACCGGTGAGGGTCCTTGGTGCTGAGGTGAGGCTGCATGGGTGTGGAGTGTGATACCAGATGCACATGTACTATGCAAAAGCATGCTGAAGGTTAACAGGCAGAGGCGGGCAGCTGGGATCAGGGACAGAGGACCTCTTTAGAGAGAGGACTATAGCTGGTCCAGATGTCCGATATGGTCCAGCACCCCCTGCTATAGGCCTTTGTCTGCCTTCTTGACATCCTGAATGCCTAATAGTCTCTTTCCTGCCCTACCTGTGTTGTTAATGCTAGTTAAGGAGCAGGCCTTCAGTTCTGCTGGAGGGGAATCTTAGGTGTTTCTCTCTAAAGGTTCACATCCCAGAACAACCCCTTCTCTAGCTCATATGGTGCTAACTCTTTGTGGACACTACACTGGCCTTCCAGGATTACCAGTTCCTCTGACTCATCAGTTACCACCAAGTCTTTGGCCCAATCAGCAGTTCCCAGGGATGGTGCCACTTCAGTATACTACTTGTTTCCCAGGGTTAGTGCTCCTTCTTCTGTGTCCAGGGCTTGCTAACCCAAACTACTCTGCAAGCAATAAGCACACCACATACTCACTCAGGGTACTCTCAGCAGTCTTCCAGCTCCCCATCTAGCTGCTCCATGCCTCATGGTGTGGGCTTCTACAGACAGGAATCCACTTTGCGAAAATCATGACACATTCACACTGAAATTCCTCTGGGGTGTCTCCCCCCTGGCCCTCCCCAGGCTTTTCAGTCCTACTGGGGTTATCCCAGCTCCAGCCCTGCTGAGCTGACTCACAGTTCAAATTCTCAAGTCCAGCTTCCGCAGCTTGTAGCAGCACCTCTCTCCAGCACCATCAGGCTCTGCCTGCCTAGCTTTTCCCCTGAGCTGAGTTTATATATTCTCAAGACCTGACCCTTCTGGCTGAAGAAACCCTGCCTTAAAGGTACCATTCCACCCTTTTCTTCTCTCAGCTCTACACGTTGGGGCCAGGGGTTTCCCATTACAGGGACCATGAAAAGGGCCAACCACTGACATGAAGTAGCCACTTCAGAGCAGCTCCTTCATGGACAGGAAGGCAGTGAGAAATTCTTTTCTCCCTTGCCTTGTGTCCAGGACCTGGCCTAGGTATTTAAAAAGGACATTGGGATCTGGATTTGCCCCTGAAGCTTTGATTCAGCAAAGTCCATGTTTAATTTGCATTGGAGCCAATGAGATTTCAGCATGCATTTTAAGGCTTCCCTGAATAGGAATGGATTAATGCATGTGCTTATGGTTAAGCACTTATGGAGGCCTTTGCTGATTTGGGGGTGTGAGTGCACAGTACCAGTTTTGTTCACAGTGTGTGACGCGCCATACATCTCCAGTGTTTAGTTATACACCTAGGCAGTAAAGGCCAGTATTTTTAAAGACCATGAATGATGTTTCCTCTTTATAGAAAACTAAGAAAAACCAACCTAATCAATATAAAAGGATTGTTCATCCTTCCTTCAAATCCTTCCTTCCATAGGGGGCAAAAAGAAGGTACCGGGTAACGTGAGGCCTCTGCATGACACGACAGGAAATCTGGTCATCACACCAGATGACAAAGTTAACCTTTTTAACAATTTCTTTGAATCCATTTTCCTGAGCAGGGATCAAATCAGCTTCCCCACCAGGACCTCCTCAGGCCCCAGGGGAGGCGCACCCAGGCCTAGGGTCAGTGAGGATCTACTCAGGGAACTTCTGGAAGGACTGAACTTATTTAAATCAGCTGGTCCTAATGATTTCCAC